AAAAGACGTTCCTTTAAAACCACATGTGGGACACCAAGCTGTGGTTCTGAAGATACTACAACACCATCTCTGCCAGGACTGCATGATAAATCAGAATTTTATCATTACTGCGATAAGAGTTTCCACAGTAAACAAGGTAGATCTGTGATGACAAAACCGATGTTATGTACTTTATTGGTCCTACAAGGGAAATTTGTCATTTTGCTGCCTAACTATACCCAACTGGGAGCAGCACAGCATCGCCAGCAGAGCAGCGCCACCTGGAGCAGTGGGGGGTTAAGTGCATTGCCTAGGCATAACTTCTTGTGCCCTTAATCAGTCATGGGATTTGAACACGCAACCTTCCAGCTGATGGCTAACTATTCCTACCACCTAATCTAATGACCTCAAACATGTATAGACTCCATTTCACTGCCAGCATAAACTATTAGAGGCCTAATGAGAGCCTCTCCGTGCTGGGATTGAATCCGGCTCTCCTTCGATGAGAAACTTAACCATTAGGCTACACAGCCAGTTACAAATCACACACAAACTCCTCCGTCCTGAACTACAAGCCTGTAAAAACACATCAAACGTTAGGATTGCTCTCACACCCACACCCAGTACTGTGTTTTAAGTGTGCACTTCGGTCATGACTGTCACAACGAACATATTTGATAACTAAACAAAAACAAAAACACAAATATGTATTTGTTCCTGCGCGCCTATTTAAAAATAAATGTATATTTATTAGTGATTGTGCATTGCAAAGCAATTAATCATTAGCCACGTTAGCACTTTGGCTGAAGCATTACTTTAAAGCCATCCTGTGGGTTCAGAGATAGTCGTACCACTTAAAGCTGTTAGCAACAAAGCTAACAACATCTATGACATCTACCAGCAGGCAGTGATCTAAACTGCTGCTTTTGAACGCCAGACGTTTAGCCCACATTAGCACATTTAGCTAGCTTCAGCAATAAAGCCTGGGGTGCTAATCTGTTCTTCTTCTGAAATATGGTTAAATCCCTTAATGTTCCTGTTTATTATACACTTTAGCCGTGTAACGCAGTAGCAGTCTCCTGATTAGAGATATGATTCCAGATTAATGTTATGCAACAGTAAATCTTTTTTAAAAGCAATTTATTTATAGCTGAGAGGGCCGTGAGGTGGATCTGATGCGCTTCTCCGTCTGCTTTGTTTCGTTTCAGGCCTTTTGTGAAAGTCACGTATCTTGCGCTGTATTGTCGAGGGTGCTGTCGTAATCAGTTCCATCGAGCTAAATTGATGAATTAATCACTGCAGGCAGTGTTAATCTGTATAGAGAGTCTCTTTAATTCAGGCTGATGTTCCTAGAGAGCACGCCGTGACCCAGTTTCAGAGTGAGCCGAGTTTCATCACTCAAATCTCGCTCATCTACTTGTTTGCGCAGCTGCATTTTTCCATCTTTCTCACCAAACCGAAGAAAAATATACAGAATTCACCAAAAGCATGAGCCACAGCAAACAAGGATGCATACAGTTCACAAGGCAACACGTGGTTTTTGCACCACAACAGACCTCAGAAGTCGTGCATCATACCCTTATAAGGATCTCCAGGCCTAAACTGTTTGTCTCTATGGGAAAAATGAATGGTGTTGTGGAAAATTGCTGCTGTTGTGTCCTGTGGCAAACCAAAATAATCCAAAGCTGATCCGTGTACATTTCCCTCCCGAGGGTCACTGGATCCTCTGAATTACAGGGTCGAAATATGAATATTGCATCATACAGGCTAACAAGCTAACATTCCCGAGCACTGAAATGACATCACATGAAAGTACGTCTACTTTTAAACTTTAAACACTGTTAAATACCAACACCAGCTTCTCCAACTGCAGCCTAAAACTGCCAAAGCCACTAAACTACCACACAGGACGAAGACTGCTAGGGTATTTTGGTGAGGTCAGTCTTATGATGTCAGTTCAGGACGTAGCAGTATTAGCTTGCATGTAGTCCTGTAGTCTGTTTCTCTGCATACTTTGTTACCCTTTTTACCCTGTTCTTCAGTGGTCAGGACCCCCATGGACCCTCACAGAGCAGGTACTATTTGGGTGGTGGATTATTCTCAGCACTGCAGTAACACTGACATAGTGGTGGTGTGTTAGTGTGTGTTGTGCTGGTCTGAGTAGATCAGACCCAGCAGTGCTGCTGGAGTTTTTAAACCAGTGTCACTGCTGGACTGAGAATAGTCCACCAACCAAAATTATCCAGCCAACAGCGTCCTGTGGGCAGCGTCCTGTGACTCACTGATGATGGACAAGAGGATGACCAACACAAACTGTGCAGCAGCAGATGAGCTATCGTCTCTGACTTTACATCTACAAGGTGGACCGACAAGGTAGGAGTGTCTAATAGAGTGGACAGTGAGTGGACACAGTGTTTAAAAATTCCAGCAGCACTGCTGTGTCTGATCCACTCAGACCAGCACAACACACACTAACACACACCACCACGTCAGTGCTGAGAACTACAAAGTGCACCTATATAGTAAGTGGAGCTGATAAAATGGACAATGAGCGTAGAAACAAGGAGGTGGTCATAATGTTATTCCTGATCGGTGTGTGTGTACATTTTATATATATATATCGCTGCTGTCGGAACAAAACCTCGTATCTCCAAAATGGTAACTTTACAGGAGGAGGAAAAAACACTTCACTTTTAATGTAAGTCAATGGAACCAGACTTCTTTCTAAGTAATTCTGGGCCGTTTCTCTTGGTTTATTCATTATTATCATGAAATTAACAGACAATGTAAAGAATAACAGGCTTTTTCAAAGTATGTCAAAAACGTTATTAGAACTTCATTCTGGATGTTCCTTTTACCCCAAGTTTCAGCACCGGAGCTACCAGGCACTGTCACTTTGTTTACGCATCCACACATTACTCTTATTGTTTACTGTTTAGTATATTTTATACTATTATTTATCTCTACTTTCTTTTTATATATATATCTGTATATAGTGTATGGTCATACTTCGCTCCTGTTCATTTTGATCTTGTTATGCTCTTTTCTGTGCTTTGTACTGCGGCAATGGAAGAATTTCTCTCTGGGATTTGTAAAGTGACCCATCTATGTACCCAAACCCACCCACACCCACCCACCTCCACCCACACCCACCTCCAAATTGTATGTTTTGTTGATTTTCTAGGTGAAAATAATTCACATACTGGAAAAAATTTATCATAAAATGTATAAGGTCAACTTTTGTACAGGCCATTTTCTATGTTAAATTCAGTAAATAAACAGTGATTGTGTATTAAACTGTGCACAAATGTGTCTCTGCAGAGGATGTGTTCACTTATTTTTACTTAGAAAATCAAAAAAAGGTGTAATTTCACCCGGGGCGCCCAATCTTTTCCACACAACTCTATATATCTATCTGTTTAAAGTAATAAACATCAAAAGCAAACTTGAGTGTTTTCCGACCAACCAATGATGCTGTTCAGTTCCTCAATCGAGAATTAGGCTTGAACTCTGCTTCAGTGCACTAGATGGCGCTGTATATCTGTTATTCTCGAGGCAGGGTAGAAGAAGTCTAGCCATTCACTCACAACAGAGCATTCAAAGAAGGCAATTAAAGTAAAAATAAAGAGTTAAAAAAAACTGAGTTTGACGAAAAAGTCTCAAAACAGCAGACTGTGACAATAAATAAATAAATAAATAAATAAATACCTCTGCAGTGGTTTAGTTTTCTTAAATCAGATATTTTTTGTTTTCTTCAAGGTTCAAAATCCAATTAGGACTTAAAACTGAACATTATAAAATGTAATAATTACAGATTCTGACTGATAAGAAAGAATATACTGTGATAAAATTCAGGTCTCAGATTCTTAAATACGATGAACTGCACAGCCCTAATAAGATTCCTGGCCCAGCCCGACTCATTCAGGCTCAGGTCTATACAGGCAGAGTCAGTTGTTTGTATTGTGATCCTATTCTCTCCCCTCAGCATCTACTTAGTAGTATCATAATGATAAAATTACAGTCTTTTGATTTTCAGCTTGGGTGCTTGTGGGATTTCTCGACCCAGTCTTACTAACCCCTTAATTAGATGATTATTGGAGACGTTAAACAGCCTCTTCGCCCCAAAAGACTGTTTAGGGAGTGTTTTATCTCACTGTTTGAGGGGCTGTGCGCGTGTTGGGCCTGATCAAAGTGAAAGTTCCAGGCTCTGCAGCCCTTAAGCTGAGCAGGAAATGACACGGGAAGCTGTCTGAGCTCCTTCCCTCAGGTAACCCCAGCCTTTTGAACCTTTTCTACTGCACAGAAAGTCCAGCACTGCATGCATTCACACTTCGTACATCAAACAAATGGGACTCGCTCGCAGAGCACCTTCCTCTGTGTCGCGTTCACAGCTTTGTCAAATTAAATTCTGCACATTTTTGTGTTCTCCCAAATTTAGCAAGCCCGATTTAACTCGAACAACTGACCTATCCAGGCTCCGCCCCCCAATATAGCTGCTCAATATAGCTGCTTACATTTAGAGTCAGTTATTCATTCAGCCTAATGAGAAACTGTAGAACAGACTCAGTTTATATCACAATACCTACATTTAGAGTCAGTTATTCATTCAGCCTAATGAGACACTGTAGAACAGACTCAGTTTATATCACAATACCTACATTTAGAGTGAGTTATTCATTCAGCCTAATGAGACACTGTAGAACAGACTCAGTTTATATCACAATACCTACATTTAGAGTCGGTTATTCATTCAGCCTAATGAGAAACTGTAGAACAGACTCAGTTTATATCACAATACCTACATTTAGAGTCGGTTATTCATTCAGCCTATTGAGAAACTGTAGAATTTAAGTGTTTATGGGTAAACATCTGATTGATGGGCTAAACAGAAAGTTCACCGTCTTCATGTGTTTTAGGGCTGCTAGCTAATTAACATGGCAGTCTTTTCACTATATTGCATGAGCTGGATCAGGTGAGCTGAAGAGAGTAAACACTTTAAATGAATTCTCGGCCACTCTCACCTGTGTGTGTTTCAGTTTTTAACGGGCTCTGCGATGCTGTCCGAGCTGCCTTTCTCCTCCAGCTGCTGCAGGCTGTCAGTGGTAGTCGGGCTGATGCCTAAAAGGCAGAAAAAGAAGCATTTAGAGAGCAGAAATGTGAAATATTACCTTCTATCTGGGCTGTTTAACAATCGTAGGGACGATGCAGAGTAATGCAGTAAAAAAAACTATTAATGAAAAAACAAACATTTCTGCAAACCAAAATGAAAAGACAAATGTAAAGTGAATCTGAAATGCAACAAAAGTATAACCAGTGGCATTAAAACTGATTCCATTCCAATGCAACAGTAATATAGGTTATATATATATATATATATATATATATATATATATATATATATATATATATATATACACACACACACATACATACATACATACACATACATACAGTTTTTTTTATATACATGCACACACACACACACACACACACACACACATTCCAGATGCTACAAGATATGGATAGAAGATGTACAATATTATAATGTCAATATGTGCAAGTATAGATTTGCTAGATTATAAATTGAATTCATTTTAAATCCTATACTAACATATAACAGAATAAAACAAACAATAAAAAACACATTACTTCACATTTTTGCCATGTTTTTATCATTTACTGACATTAAAACAGAAAAAGCGCTTGTATGTGCCACAGAGGGCCAATTCATTACATATAACTATGTAATTAAATACAAATAAATGCTCTATAAATGAAACATGCAGTAAAAGCGCAGTGATACCTCCAGTCCTGTAAGGGTTAACTCTGCGTGCTGAGTGTAGTAGAGTGCTGAGCTGGAGGCTTATGCAGCACAATGAATGTACGCTAGCTGGTGGCTAACAGCTGCTGCTAGCGGCGAGTTTGGCTGACTCACAGGCTCGGCACAGCCGGCCTCGGTCACTCGTCTCAGGAGGCTCCGGACTGCATTTGTAACATCAGAGCCCAGCTCGACCTTCGACCCATATGACTCAACCGGCTCTGTGCCCCCCGCGTGCTAACGCAAACCAGCTGTCTGAAAACTACCAACCCCCACCAAAACACATCCCCACGTTCACAACTGAAGCCATTCAGGAGCTCACAGACAGCTTTTACTCAAAACCCCCAAGACAGAGAGCGAGACATCCAGTGGCCAACAAGACCGAACACACTGCAAAATAAAAAAATGAGCTGCGAGCGCAGAAAACACTTTCATCAAAATGACAACACTGCATTTTAAAAACGCTTCGCTACATAATGAAACACACTGCAAATTCATGGACACTCTGCAAACTCTAACACTATTTATCGGTAAGACAAACACGGTAGCACTGTAGTTGAGTGGTCCTTTGTAGATGATTAATAAACTCTTAACAGATTATCAATAAACACAAACAACACATCAGTGAAGTAGCTGTAGTGAAGCCTCTGAATACACTGTAGTAAATATCTTGGAGATGTTCTGTTGATACATTACTTACATTAAGTAGATGTGTTGTTAATATGTTACTTCCATTAAGCAAAACCTAACCTTACCAACCTCAACCCGACACCTAACCTTAACCCGGGCCCTAATCCTAACCCTAACCTCAACCTCAACCCAAAACCTAATCCTAACCCTGACCCTAATCTTAACCCTAACTTTAACCTCAACCCAAAACCTAATCCTAACCCTGACACTGGACCTAATCCTAACCTCAACCTCAACCCAAAACCTAATCTTAATCCTAACCTTAACCTCAACCCAAAACCTAATCCTAACCCTGACCCTAATCCTAACCTCAACCCAAACCCAAAACCTAATCCTAACCCTGACCTTAATCTTAACCCTAACCTTAACCTCAACCCAAAACCTAATCCTAACCCTGACCCTAATCCTAACCTCAACCCAAACCCAAAACCTAATCCTAACCCTGACACTGGCCCTAATCCTAACCCTAACCTCAACCCAAAACCTAATCTTAATCCTAACCTTAACCTCAACCCAAAACCTAATCCTAACCCTGACCCTAATCCTAACCTCAACCCAAACCCAAAACCTAATCCTAACCCTGACCCTAATCTTAACCCTAACCTTAACCTCAACCCCAAACCTAATCTTAACCCTGACCCTAATCCTAACCTCAAACCAAACCCAAAACCTAATCCTAACCCTGACACTGGCCCTAATCTTAACCCTAACCTCAACCTCAACCCAAAACCTAATCCTAACCCTGACCCTAATCCTAACCTTAACCCAAACCCAAACCCTAATCCTAACCCTCATATGTTGTTGACATGTTACTGAGAGTGTGTTTCATCTAAACAGGACACACAAAATAAAGTGTCACTGAAAACACTTTCATCAAAACGATGACACCAAAAAAAACACTGCAAATACAGAAAACACTGCAAAGCCAGTCACAACATTAACAGGCCTCATTCACCAACGATTCTTAAGAAGAAATTCCTTCTTAAAACACACTTACGCAGTTCTACGAAGATTCTGTCATTCACCAGTGTTTTCGTATTTGGTGTTTGTTCTTAGATAAAAACAGTCTACACACTCAAGAGCACAGAGGTGAGAACAGTTCTGCACTTTAAGAACACGTCATGAATCCGACGTAGACTTTTTCTTAGGACCTTTATCAAGAACACACTAAAGAACACACTTAGGAAGATACTGGTCAATAAAGCCCAGTGTTCCCGGAGGACAATCAACAAGGACGTAGATATTCAGACTTGGGTTTTATGCAGCATAAACATTCAGTGGAAAAAGTAAGTCAACTTATTTAAACCGGTAACTAATATCACTGTAATGGGAATCAGCTGCCGGCTGCCTCTCAAACACTGCTACTCAGACAGAACTCTGAGGCAGGGAGGCAACCAGTCGTGTTCAAATCGAACGTTTTTATAAAATGCTGCCTGCTGAGGTTCCTCCACTCGGCCGGGTTTGAAGGCAGTGTAGATGTGTCCTTCACTGCCTTACATTTCCCATAATCCTTTGTGTCCGCACCAACGCAGTTAAGCAAAAATAGCAGAACCCCAGCACTGACTCAGTGGAGGAAAGAGACCAGTCTGTGTACAAATGCAACACTTTTTATGCTGCCGTTGCCTCACAGCAAGAAGGGTCTGGGTTTGATTCCCCGGTCGGGTAACCGGGGTTCTTTCTGTGTGGAGTTTGCATGTTCTCCCCGTGTCTGCGTGGGCTTCCTCCCACAGTCCAAAGACATACAGTCAGGCTAACTGAGATGCTTAATTTCCCTTAGGTGAGAACATCTTTGTGTTCTGTGATCATGTGATGGACCAGCAGTCTATCCAGAGTGGGTCCTGCCTCACGCCCTTGACCGCTGGGATAGGCTCCAGCGACCCAGGAGGATAAGCAGCTTAAAAGAAGAATGAATGAGTTCAGCATGCGAGCTTCCTTAAAGAAGTTTATTTCTGGGTAAAAGATGCTAACGGCTAAGGCTAGCAGCGAGCTGTCGTATCTTGGCAGTGTTGTGACGTATCGCTGCCTTCGTAGCTCATTTCAAACACGACTCAACTGCAGCTTCCTTCATCACAACGCTGCCTCCTTAAGGCGCCGACTTACGAGACAGTAAGGGCAGCAGGACATCGGGACAGTGGCCTTCAGTTTCAGACACAGCCATAGAGTGTAACACATTTCAAATGGCAATATCAGATATGATATTATAGGGTAGCTGTGTAGGGACCCCAGGAGCCAAGAGCCCAATGAAATACAAATTAGATGATACTGTATGTGTCCACGTTTAATAACCACAGCACTGCTGTGTCTGATCCACTCACACCAGCACAACACACACTAACACACCACCACCACGTCAGTGTTACTGCAGTGCTGAGAATGATCCACCACCCAAATAGTACCTGCTCTGTGAGGGTCCATGGGGGTCCTGACCACTGAAGAACAGGGTAAAAGGGGGCTAACAAAGTATCAGAGAAACAGATGGACTACAGTCTGTAAGTGTAGAACTACAAAGTGCACCTATATAGTAAGTGGAGCTGATAAAATGGACAATGAGCGTAGAAACAAGGAGGTGGTCATAATGTTATGCCTGATCGGGGTATATACATTTAGAAATAGCTGCTTTTGTGATTGCAGATTACCTTTAAGAACATCAGTGCAGCCCATCATAACCCCTCAGTCATGGTTATAATGGACTATTCCATGTTATGTGCCACGTGGTATAAATAAAGCAATTAATTAATAATCAACATGATGGAGGGGAGGTTTTTCGAGTGTTGAGAGAGAAAAATCAAATAAAGTGATCCAAGCAAAGCAGAGAAACAGAGTTCGTTCCTTCACTCTCAGAGCTAACTTCATGTGGTCAGTCAGAACAGAGCGCTGCTCGGACTCTGCGCAGACTGTACATAACACCAGTGTTAATGTCAGTATAGATAAATACTGTGTTGGGCTGAAAGAATAACTCATAAGATTCTTGTCTTTTCTCAAACTGTAATGGGATTATGTTACTTTTTCACAGTAGTAATAAGTAAATATCATTACCTAATTTCTACATAACTATAGAAATAGTTAGATAGCAAATCAAATCAAACCACATTTACTGTCACAACACATTTACACAGGTGCAAGGTGAGTGAAAATCTTAGGTGCATAGCCCCCTCGTAGACTTTAAATACAAACATATATATAAGAAGAAAAAAGAAATATATATACACCGACTCATATATACATATACATACACATATACACAATGCATACTAGTATTGCACTATTCCAATGTACAGCTGTACAGTAATAAGTTAAGAAACAAAACTATGAAATGTACAGCTGTACACATCTCCGTATATGCAGTTAATTTGAGGTAGATAATGAATGGGATGCAGTTACACAGGGATAGAATACTGATATGGCAATCTACCAGATTATACAAGATATAGATTGACATCTTGTACATCATCCATATGTGTAAGTATAGATTTGCTATATTGAAGGTGCAGTAAGATCAGAGTGAGTCTGTTGATGTGGATGAAGTTTGGATTGTCCATGGTGATCATCATGATGGTGACCCGGAGGTGCAGTGACAGGCCTATAGACCGATACACCAGCACTACTGTTC